CACTAACAATCTAAAAATATTCTTCTTATGAACTGGAAAATAACATACTCATAAACGTTACCTGTACTTTTTTCTAATATATGTTAATTTTTTAATATTTAACTTGACGATATGAAGTTCGTTTTGCCTGAAAATAAAATAGTAGTTCCACTCCGCTCGTACAATCAGTCTTAAAATGTTTTGTTTCTAAGAAGTATTCTTGATTCCATACGTAATACGATAGAGGGTGCAGAATTTGAAATATGCGACATGGAAACAATTGTTTTGAAATTAAAATGTAGTCTTGTACGAACCAGTTAATTTGACTGAAATGATTTCGGGTGTTAAGGGATGTCTAAATGGTATTAGCGTTTATCTTCAATACCCTATGCAGAGTTTGATTTTTTTAACAACCCAGGCATACGTCATTATTCTGCTTATATATATATATATATATTTGTTCTGCGCCGTTGATCTTGTGACTAGCGTGAAGAGTTGCAATCAAGTGGACCTTGGCTTGAGAACTGGGCATCTAATTTCAAATGTATTTCACAGAAAGTGATCAAAATTCACTGAGCTGTTTCGTTATCAACCACCAAGCTTTTTACTGCGCTCATAATTAATATTACAGACAAGTGTTACCAGATGGTACAAGGAACCCAATATATAGGATTTGAGGCTTTCACAGCAGTGAATCTGATGATGGCTGTCTTCTGGGTTGTTGTCTCGCGTAGTCCGGTATTAGTTTACCGACGTTTCAGAGGTCCTTGCTGCCTCCATCACCAGGATCAGTGCCCTGATAATGGAGGCAGCAAGGACCTCTGAAACGTCGGTAAACTTCTACCAGACTACACGGCGAAACAGCCCAATATAATTATCTGGTGTACATTTGGATTTTGATCCAGGATAAATCAAAGCTTCCGACCAATGACTGGACGGCAGTGGTTCGATTCTCAACGAAGGGAGTAAACTCTAGGGCACTCCCAGCCTCCTACCCAACGAACAACCAAATAATACCTTCGAGGGGTAGAGATGATTACTTTCCCCTCCATACAATGTCAAAGTGAATAATCAGAGGAGATTTACATTTACGTCCTCTATAAACTCTGAAATCGTGGTTCTAAGCTACATTTTTAACCATGAAGAATTATATGATATGTTCCTCCGAAACTTTGCTAACCGCATACAAGACCACATATCGTCAAAACCGAGAAGACTACAGTCAATATATTTACCGCTGTGTTAACCTAAAGTCTCATAAACTTCATTTCACTCAGTTTATCTGCGTTTTCAGGGTGTCGTAAACTATCAGTAATAAGTTATTTTACCAGTTTATACAAATTTTAGAGCTGTCAGCAGATAAGGGAGCCGTATTTTAATTTAACATAACCTTTAGGGCACTATATACTAGAGTAACCACAGCAAAATTAGTTATACACCGAATTCAATGCTCTGGTTTATAACACTACGCTGTTCAATCTAGCAGTGCCTGTGGGCAACGTCATTGGTAAGGGGAGGTGCTGTAGTACGTAGACTGTTTCCGAGCTGTGCGTGGCGTACGGATAATATAAGTGTAGTTTCATGAACTACCATGCATTTTTCACTGCTGCAAGAAATCTAAACTCATTGAAACGAAATTACGTTTTAACGTCTGCATGAGCATTAAAGTTAAAGGTAGTATTTTTTATGAACTTGAAATGGTCGTGTGAGAGCAGTGTAAACACTGTTAACGTGCGCTGAATTCAGAAGTCATGCTTCTCACGAAAAACTGTAGTAATTGCGTAATCGTTTCCTGTTCTGTGGAAAGTGAACGACCTTGTATTGTGTCGAACATCATGGTCACTGACCACGGACTTTCGCCCTCCAGTTATCGCTTTCCACACGAAATCTACTGCTGGTTAAATGCGCTTTAACTTTGTAGCAACGAATGAATAATATACATTTCTATTTTGTGAACTTATTGCGTAGCTAATACATTTTACATTTGTTACTTTAGGGATTAGATAAACATGTAACTCAGTTTTAGAATTTAAAAGCAAACGGCTTTTCGTGTTGGTTATGAGGTTCTAATTTAGAAGAAGTAAGAATTTTAAGAGTGAGAGGTCTTTGCACAAACGTGTGGCAGCTGGATAAATATTATAAAAGTTATCGTAATTTTATATGTTTGTGTTGTGATCCTTTGCTTTCGTCAGGTTTCTTTGGTCATAAAAATCGAATCGAACAAAGACTATGAGTTCGGACCTTAGAACTGTCAACAGCCTACTTATCTCGATAAGGTTAAATATTATTATATTTATTATTACATTTATAATTTCTTGTTGAATAATAAACTTGTGTTATTTAAATATAAAATTAACAAAACAATAACAAATATCTTGACGAGTTGGTATCACGACAGCTTGTAGGTCCCGAACTTAAATCTTTTAACGGAAACAGGCTTTCATGAGGTATTTTCGAGGTCTTCCTTAGTACTTCCCTGCATATGTTGACGTAAATCGTAACGTTCAACAAAATGCGAAGTAATTCCCTGATAAGAACAGCGGTAAGTTGAAGCAGAACGTTCTCAGCCGTTTAAACTTCGTATTGACGTATCAAAATTTGCATTTATATTTCTAGTGAAGCAGTCAGACTGATAACGTCTTCGTAGATAAAAGACACTCAAGTATCCGCGTATTCGGCTGATACATTTATACAGAATTTTAGTCGAATATCTTAAAGCAGCGTTTACAACCTATAGTACGCGTACCAATGGTGATAAGCAAGCCAGTGTTGAGAGATACGCGAACTAAGTAAGAAAATCAAAAGATAATATTGACATAAATCAGTTTTCAATGAACCAATTTCGTTAGTGGTACATTTAATGTGTTAAATTATAACCAGAGGAAAAGGGTGAGAACCCCTGTCTTAATGTGACCGTTAGGGATGAATGTGCAGAACATGTAGCAATGAGAAATGCATACATTTTAGAAGGAAGATTGGCCACACTAAATGGGAGATCTAGACGGCATCAAAATGGATCGTAAACAAATATACTGTGGTCCTGATTCGACTGGCTGTACGCCTTTGAACACGTTACAACCCGCGGTTTCCATATATTTAGAAGAATTTCTTGACCGACTCCTGAATACTGAAAAAGTTTGCATCATTTATTAATTAATAAATGTGTTACATACACTATGTACCCTCGAGTTATTCTGTCCGAGACCCGTTCAAACCGATCTGCCAGCCAGGCTTATCACTTGGGTTGGGTGTTATCTGTATTTATGACCCTCGGCATGCATGATCCGTTATGAGATATCGATATTTTTAGCCACCAAAACTACGTACGTACCATGAATCTTAATGCATAGAGATTATAAATAAATTAGTCCAAATGTAAGGATTTGGTAATAAGGGGGGGGGCAGAAGCTTTCCCCTCGACCCTTACCAGTAAATAACAGATAAACCACGAGGGTCCATCAAGGCGTGACGATATTTTTATTAATCATTGAAATTACGTGCTTGTAGATGACTGTCTTCAGGCTTGTTGGGTCGTGTAGTCTGGTAGAAGTTGTTTGACCTTTAAGAGGCGTTTACTGCCTCTATCGCCATGATAATTGAGGCAGTAAGAGCTTCTGAAACGTCGGCAAACTTCTATCAGACTAAATGTCGTAAAAACCTGAATACAGTTATCGTCATATTCGTCGCCGTGAGAAACTGAAATCTCAGTTCATGATTGTGGAATGGAGTACGCATAATTTAAAATAAATCATTTCTAACCTTGTGCGAAATATATTAAATGGGCTTATTACAAAATGGAAAATTGAATGTATATACATATTCAGTTAATGAAATAAAAATATTTTAGTAATGGAAGCCATTAAATACGTCACCATTGGCTCTTAGTGAATTTGCGAATCTGGCGTAGGTGTTCAAAATGACCACCGTTAGCTTCGTGGCGCAGTTGATAGCGGTGAGAAACTGACTGACAAGTGGCCTTGACAGCTGCTGCTGTGTGTACATCGTGTATATATACACCAAATGGAAAAACTAGATGTAGGTGGGAGGTTATTAGTAAAACGGGTATTAATGTAACGTGATATGAGGTTGTTGATTGGATCAATGTGACTCAAGGCACTTATTAATGACGGAAGTTTTTGAACATTGTAACGAATCTTCTGCTCTATAAAACAATGGAAATTTCTCGACTGTATTTATCTGTTTCGTATGATTATCACTGTAAGCTGTGATCATTTCCATTAACAACATTCACAAGCTAATTTTTTAATGTCCAAGTGTTATGTTCACTTTGCGGTACGGACTGAATTCTTATATTTTTGTAAATGTTCTTTGGTTTAAAATGGCTAGTTACCGGTAAGTAAATATTAAAACTTAGTTCCCCCCGTTTTACCCGCAGACAATTATTGCAGTTAAAAGTCTACGTTATCGAATAGTCGAGATTTGAGAGTGCGAGACGAAAGGAAACAGACACGTCAAGGGGAAACCGGTATGCTAATCTTATGCAAAAGAAAAGAGAGAGAAAAAAGCACGAACCTGTTTGTCCACATACTCCATTATAAGATTATTTCTACACACCTTTTTTCACGCTTCTTTGTGAGCTTATTAAATGTGCTTGAATTGTCCACATACCGTATTCTGATTTTTCGCGTTCGTTGTACAGTACAAAGCGTTACAAGTGATAAAGACATTGTGATTGTGTTTCTGCTCATAGCAGCCAGTTAGTTTTCAAGTAAGTGACATAGCTGTGTATATTAATTTACGACTGTAATTGCAGTTACATTTACACTCTTAAACTTCATTCTTTTTGGAAAGATGAGTTAAAAATTAGTTTTCACTTTATCAGGTAGCCTGATATTCGAAGACAAACACTACGCCCACAGTATTTAAATAACATCGTAACACTGTTCAAACAATCTGTTTCTTCCAACACCATTCATTCTGTAAACTTCGTACTTTACAAACCAGCGTGTCAATTACGGCTTGGGGTTACTAAATTCTTACAGTCTAGATAAAGTACTTACATGCAGACAGGCGTAGCTCCAACTTGCGAAGTTTCAGCTCACTTGGCAGCATGAATGGAACAGCTGTAGCGACTGGAGCCACCATTACCCGACCACCAGGCTGTCAAACTTGACAAAACCGGTTTCCACCATCTGAGTAAGATGCCGAATCACGCAATGTCCACTGCCCATGTTGGCAGCCTGTGCTAGTCAAGGTTGCAGCCGCTATTGATTTTCGTCCAATATTTCAGTCGTCAATCAGTCTGTGACCCAGTTGTTGTAACGCCCTCTACTTCGGATGTTATGTTGGATGTACATACCTCACCAGGCAGATGCCTACAAGTAAAACGAAAACTGTTTGTAATCGTGGCAATCTTGAGCGCTGCTGGACGTGTTAACCTTGTAAAGACTTCAGCACACAAAGCAAACGAGAAGACAATCGTTCGGTGACGTCACACGTGCGCTGCAAGGTTGTGAAACGGAATTCCCGTTTAAATTCAGAGGCGCGGACGAATACTGGCCGCGGAAGGTCGGGTTGTAGCGGTTATCACTTCCGCTTTATGTTCCGAAGATCGTAGGTTATTGTTGAAAGAATTTCCTGTCTGAGTTTTTCCTCAGTCCTTCCAGGAAAATTCTCGATAAATGCCTTTACTTGATCATTATTTTAAATTGTGATTTGACATATTTTTTTGTGATAAATTTCCATCAAAAATTTTTTGGTCGGAGTGACTTCCGTCGTTTGTTACAGAGGGATAGAACAAAAAGTTTAGAATGCCTTATTTACAAACCGAATTAAGGTGAAGAAATCTCGACATTTGACGTTGTTTGTGCGGTTCCTGTAATGTCGCTGAGTTTACCAGAAAGAAAATATTTGAGCATGAGTGTATCGTAGAGTTTAATTATCATTGGTAATATTTTTAATATAGGCTAAACCATTATCGCATGAGAAAGGTTTCGTTGTGCGATGCTGAATCACTCCAACGTTAAAAGTTTATTTATTTTCTTGAAGTATCAAAAATAACGCCCACTTTTCTAAGTGACTCGTTTAACTGAATTGTTTATGAGAATTTAATAATTTGCTCTTGCCAGGGTAAAGGGTTATCAACCCTGAAAGCTCAGGAAACGGAAAATAATTAGCGGAAAGTTCTCAGATTACGTGTTTACTGATTTTTTTAAAATAAAAGTATAGAAATTTGGTGACATAATTTACACCTAAACGTAAGACTGAAGTGGTAATTATTCTAAATGACAGGTGGTATGAAATGTAGCAGTCGTTCTTCTGCCGTAATTTTTCGGTTTAGACGTCTTTATCTTGGGCCTCCAAATTGTGAATGGTGAAGTGAGATGGTTATGGAATGAGGCAGTAAGTGATGTATCTCTTCAGTCACTTGGAGGAACAGTTCAAACAGCCCCCAAGATTTTACTGTACTAGATTCGAACCTAGTACACCTTAAATGCATGAATATTTGTCTAGTGATTTTCAACAGGTGTGTAATTAAATTAAAGCATATTTTTGGGCATTTACATTCGTCTGTAAAATAAAAAAAATAATATAAATAAGGTTTCGGAAGGTTGTTCTGTTTACGTCATCAGGGAAAACCATACAGCCTCGTCCGTTGAGGCCACTAGAGGAACTTAATCTCAGTTTCCTGTTGCTATGGTGCCACAAATCTGCCTAGTGGCGACCCAGGTATGTTTGCTCTGTACCCACAGGTCTTGCAGCGATGCGAGTTTTGAAATGGATCTGAGCCCGTTTATCTTAGTCAACGCGTCGGACTTGTAATCGGGATGCTGTCTGATAGAATATCGTCGGTGACATCAGTCAGTAAGAACAGAAATGTTGGTACAGTTCTTAGGTTTCTCCAGACAAATATAACCTAAGAATAGGTCATATTCTTTTCTTTTCATATCTTCCCAATTGGGCATTCGCCACTTTCCTATCGTGTTTAATTCGCTATTATTGGGACACTGAAAAGCACCTACGTGTTATATAAAACCAGTACGAAACAAAATTAAATGTACAACCACAATTATTATTTTTTTCGAAATATATTGCCTCTATATGGAATTGAAACATATAGTTAGACAGACTGATAGATGGGACCACCTACCGCAATAAATTTTTGAGGGGGGGGTGATATCGAGTTATTGAGTATTCAGGCAGAGTAATCTGAATAAATTCTCACCGTCCTATAAGAAGTAAAAAATACCACAACCACTTTTATTCCCGTCCCTTCTGAATCGCCATTTATAATAACATGCTAGAGGCCGAGCGAGAAATGCTGGCACTTGCGCAAAGGACTGATTTTGGTCGTATGAGATAGACCCGTCCGAAGCACGCGCTAGGGGGGTGTCAGCTTCAGTTGGTTTGTAGCTCTAGCTGTGTTTAGATCGGTGCGTCACCGCAGCTGAGGCTGTGCGACCCCCACTACTACTGAATTCCCTTCTCTCGGTTTACACATTGCGCATTTAGGTGGACACGACTACTCGCGCTACCTATACATAACCTCTGTAGAATGTCTTAAAGGTTTGTAAAGATGTTTTATTAATTATGCCTGTACCAATATCATGTTTGGCATTGTCCGTTGCCTATAACTAACATTGTGTAAAGACGTATAAAATTTACTTCATACAACTTCAACAGTTACAGTTGTAATACAAAGATGACTAAGATTTTGGGGACGAGAGACAGATAAACACGAAGACCAGATTAGCACGAAACTAAGATGAAAGGAAACAAGGGAAGGAACAGACAGAGAAGTTGAATGTAATTAGTAATTGATTTTTACGAAGACAATTCGAAAGGATACAGTAAGCAGACGCTATGATGGGATGAAAATCCATGGTCTTAAACAAAAGAGTAAAGTACGTATTATAAAGCTTCTTATACTTTAATTCTATCTTCAAATCCAAGCAGCAAAATCCCAGTTTATGCCGATTTTCTGACAATCGAATGGTTGCGGTATAACTTTTACGTATGCTGTAGAAAATATGTCACTACCAAATTTTAGTAAAGTTATATATTATTTTTGTACAGGATGGCTCATAATCAATCATCTCGTTACAAACAGATGCATTTTTTTATTTTTTCTGAATTTCAATGACGCAGAGAGAATTTTGCATAAATTTCAACATCCGATCGGCTTGTGAGAATCTGCAAGAATCGAAGCCAAGAAACTATGATAAGTGCCTAGAATCCTCCCGCCTTCCTACAACAGATAATGGAGCGCCACTACGTATTTGGATTGGTGTCACTGTTTTGTTTTTGCGGTCATGAGTATCCAATGCAGTTGATTCGACTTTCCGACTTTAAACACGTTCATCTGTCATGATGAGGTGACGTGGCTGTCAAACTCTAGAAATGTCGGACAATGGCTGCCTTCATTAAAATCTTCGCGTAATTTTCGCGCTTTGTACAGGAAAATACTGTCATAGTAATTTTATATATCTTTAATATTAATTTTTTTAAAGTAATGTAACGATACGAAAATAATTCTACGATTTTCGTGTTTTAAATTATGGGTTATAAACATTTTCTAGACCTGGTGTCACATTCGACGTTTATTATGGACTCCCGGACCGCAGTGGTAAAAATGCCAATTTAAACCATGTGACGGTTTATTAAAAATGCAACTAACTACTCCTACTATTATAATCAGGTTGATATATTATTCAATCATCTTCTGTAACTAAACCAATCTTTATTGAAATTCTTGACACTGTTTATCCTAGAATTCTAGGTTTAATTTCAGTTGCTTCCATCCGCACGCGTCCTTACAAGTGCTCATCAGAGAACCGTGTCCTCGTTTCTAACTGAACGGTCTTCATTAAGCTGTACGTTCACCCACAGCGATAATGACGTCATTAACGTTCTTAAGCTCAAGTTGAATTCAGTTGTTGCCTCAACGAAAGCGCAATATATCTCTATTACTAGGATGAGTTCGTTAGTATTATTCTAGGATATAATAGGCGTTTGTTATGAGAACCATACGAAGCCAATAAGTAGCCAACACAAAGTGGGGAAAATTTGAATTTGTGTTATGCTGTGTGTTAAGGGACTATCAATGCGTGTTTAACATACTTCTTCTTCTTTATTACGTCGTCTCCTTTACAGGAGGTTGGCGACATATTAATAACAGGATCCTTCCATCCTTTTCTCGGACTGGGACCTGTTCATATACGTTCTTGGCAGATGATCCAGAAGTGGTTTGCCATTGCCTTCTTCTGTGTGTGAATGAAGTAATTGTTGGGATGCCACGGAGGAAAACTCCGTGTTGCCTAGACCACGGCCATGCCCAACACAAGTTATAAATTCGTAAATAATACCGATGAATGATATTGGTAACTTAAGTACGTTGTATTTAAAATATAAGTAAGGTACTGATGTACTTAATGTGTTAATTGAAGGTTATATGCTGTACAGGATTTAAATTAGTGAGATTGCAGACCGCTAGACCACCTCATCTTATTATTATTTAGTGTTCTGTCTGACGACAGGTCCATATGAACAGGATCCTTCCATCCTTTTCTCGGACTGGGACCTGTTCATATACGTTCTTGGCAGATGATCCAGAAGTGGTTTGCCATTGCCTTCTTCTGTGTGTGAATGGAGTAATTGTTGGGATGCCACGGAGAAACCGGGGAAGCCCCCGGAGGAAAACTCCGTATTGCCTAGACCACGGCCTTGCCCAACACAAGTTAAAAATTCGGGCACCGCCGGGAATCGAACCGGGGACCCCTGGTTAACTAATTTTTGTTCTACAGAGTTACAGTATTACAAAAGGTTATACGGGCCGAACAAAGATTATCGAATGGCTGTAGATTGATAGATCTTGTTTTAAACACATAAGGGTTATGTATAAGCTAGCCGGATTCTTTTGGTTTTAAATAATTGTAAGAAATAGCCTTTGTTGGAGTAGACATTATGTTGCACACCATGTAGGAAGTTGGAAAATTATACCAATTTCAATATTTTGGACTTTATTAATCGCCATTTTGTTTATGTGGGCCGCAAATCGAGATTAGTTTCTTCCAATGAGTCCAACTGAGTAGGTTCACCTGAGGACCCGAAATTTAGTGGTGTCTTGAGGAAGTGTAACGGCGAAGGAAAAAGTCAAAAAAACTTAAATTGGTAATTGAACACCATCGTCAATAACATGTTGTTTTACACTGTTGGGCATTAAGTTTTTTTGATATTCCCTGTGAAGCACAGATTATAATGAAAATGAATTCTTCATCTGCTAACGTTTAAAGCCAGATCATCGTAGTTTACATCCTTACAATTTAGGCGTGTCCTTAGATGAATCCTGTACACACCCTTATTCCCAATTTCTTTAAGATATGCATTAACAGCTTTTCATTTGAGACTGTGTGTCCCAAATGGTGTTTTTTCTCCAGATTACCCGACTTACAATTTTATTTTATGTATTCTGAGC